TGATATTAATCAAAATTTGTTGAGTGTTTCTCAGTTGTTGGGAAAAGGATATAAAGTGTTATTTGAAGATAAAAATTGTGTGATTAAAGATATACATAACAAAGAAGTGTTCAATGTTCATATGAAAGACAAGAGTTTTGCTTTGAATTTGGAGAAGGAGGAGCCAATTATAAATGAAGATAGAAGTGAAGAACACAAAGATACATGTCTTCAAAAGAAGTTTGATGATCAAGAGGAGAATGAAGATGATGAAAAACCACTTTCAAAAGAGAAGTTTAAGACAAATGCTAAAGTGGTCCCACTCAAGAAGAATTGTAACAAAAATCACAAAAAGAAGAAATTGATCAAAAAGAGAAAAGCTAGATTATGAAATTCAAATTTAAATTAGGTGATAAAGATATTCAGTCAAGGAGGAGTGTTGGAAATATGCCTAAATATCTTTAGGAGAATAAATTAGTTTTTGATAAGAATATTTTATTTATATTTCAAATATTTAGATTTAATATATTTTGATTATTTTAAGATTTGTTTTTTTTTTAAATAGGATAATATCAATATTTGATTTTGTATAACAAATTTTCTCTATAAATAAAGACCTCATGAATAAAATTAGATTATACTCATCTGATAAAAAAAATAACTCTTACAAATATCCTCTATGACAAATATCATAAAATAATAACCTTATTAATTATTTAAGTGAGAAAACAGCTTGGATTCTATCATATAACTTTGGAATCACCAGACGCCAAACAAAAAATATCAACAAAATCAGTACATATAGAAAAATTTATGAAATTAATAAATATATGCTTTGGTGGGGCGTGAGAGATGAAACAAAAAGAGAGAAAAAATGAGTTGGAAAAGAAAGGATCATGGAGAGGAGAGAGATTTTTTTTTAATATTACATTCTTAAATTATTATAATATCTTTTAATAAAATTATTATAATACAATTTCAACTTGTATCTTAAATAAAAATATAGACTTTGATTTAAAAATTACGAAGCATAATTTAAAAATATTATGACCTATATTGAATTGACAACTTTATCTTCTTCCTCTCAATTACATTCTTTAAAGATACATGACATAAATTAAAAATTTTATTTTTATTTTGAGGATTTTTACCATGACCTGCAAAGCCTTTTTAATATATGTTTCAAAATTTTATATTTCAATATTAAATTTTATTTAAACTAAGCAATTATATTTTTATAACTTAAAAATTTAAGAATAGATAATATTTAATCATACAAAAAACATTTCAAATATTTAATAAATAAAAAATAAATATTGATACATTATACATTAAATGATAGATAAAAAGAAAAAGATAGGAAGAGAATAAGAGATAAATGAGAGAGGTGAATAAAAAAAGAGAGTAAAGAGATACATAAGAAAGAAAAAGGGAAACAAGAAAGACGAGAGAAAAGAAGAGAAAAAAATGAGATGAAAAAGAAGAAGAAACAAATAAGAGAGATGGATAAAAAGAAAAGGAGAAAGAGAGATAGAGGAAAAAAAGAAGAAGAGAGAAATGATGAGAGGAAAAAAAAGAATATGAAAGAGAAGTAAGAAAGGTGTGAGAAAATATTATTAATTTGATGAGTGAATTACATGTAAATTATACTAAAAAGTCTCATAAAATTCGGTATTTAAAACAATTTATTGAAATTTCTAAACTTTTGAATATCAATAAATTTTTTTAAATAGAATAGTCTTAATTGAATACCACCAAATTTTGATGTACTTCTAAAAATATTATGATCGTCTTAATTAAATATCACCAAATTTTGACAAACTTTTAAAATAATCTTGATTGTAATATCTCATAAGTTTTTTATATTAAAAATAAGTTTTAGTTAAATACCACAAGACTTTTTATAATAAAAAAAACTTTTAAAATTCATTGAAATGTTAACCCAATAACATCATAGTTTTAAATTAGTGAAATAACACATTCAATATTTTCTTGTTGAATGTAAATTTGACTGATCTAACCGTTATATTTGATGATTTTATATTCATGATCATGAATATCAAATTTCAAATGATTTGTAATCTTCTAGATATATTATCTAATAGTTTATATTTACAAGTATTTTGAATATCATTTTATACATTAAAATAAAGTGATTTGATGAACCAGAAAGTAATTTTATAATTATATGAAAATTTGTATAGTTGATTTAATTAATGAATATAATATTATCAAATACAACAGTTGAATTAATCAATTTTACATTCTATGAATTTTTTTTTGGTGGTTGACTTTAATCCATAGTCATATTTTGTTATAATATAAACTTTTATTTAAAAATATTTAAAAAAATGTATTTTAAATTTGTTTAAAATTATTATTAATAAAGATTGATACAGTTTACTAACTCAATATAGGATTAGGCTAAGTCACTGAAATCTCAATCTTATAGAACTCCTGTTTAGTTTATTCCAATCCAACTTTATATTTTGGTGAAATGTGCAGAAATCAATCCTTCTTAAAACCTATTTGTCAAAAAAAAAATTATAATAATTATTGATCAGAAAGATTATGACTATAATATAGAGAATCAAATATAAATTTTCATAAATTTACTAAAATTCTCATCACTAGAAGAACTATAATTACATATTTGTCACATTTATTATCAAATTAGTGAATTTTAAAAAAAAAACTTTTTTGACCGTTAATTTTAATGCAAAATTCAAAAGTATTAAACATAAAATATACTCTAACTAATATAACTACAATAAAATATTCAACTGAAATCCACCTAATTTAAAAAAGACTCAAATTTTTTTATATCTTTTTTTATGTTTTACTTTTGGAATAAAGTGATCGATTGTAATGCATATTTAATTTATATAAACAGGAGCATGATTTTTGAACATATATCAAAATAAAAAAAGTTAAATGTTTAATCCTTTTATATTTTATTATTAATAAAATAAATAAATATTTTTATTTTTATTTTTAAAATTTTAAATATGTTTGTGTACAAAATCGTGCATTGTGCTGTATACTTATTTGTTTTCATAATTCTTTTAACATCTTTAATATTTAATATTTTAAGAATAAATTGAAATTGTAAACAAGAAATAAAGAATTTGGATTAACGCAAGTGAGAAGTGATAAATGACTCATGTTACTTAATGAAGTAATTAATGTTTAAATTTTAATTTTTGTAAATGTAAAAAATTTAAGTTAAGAAGAGATGTCACAATTTTTGACAAAAAAAAATCAAGAATTAGATTACAAGAAATTTAGAAATAATAAACATAGAGTATCTTACTAACTACTAAAAACAAAGGTATGCTTATGTAAATAAAATAAAATAAAATAACGATATGTTTCAATAAAAAAAATTTAAAAATTTTTTAAAATAAAAAGTAAGAAGAAAAATAACAAAATAAATTTATTTAAAAATTAAAATTAACTTATACATAAATTATTTCTTATTAACTTTTATAAGATTTTATTATTCACTTAATCATAAATTAATTTTAACTTATTAGTCTATTTGAATAAGTTTCTTTAAAAATGCTTAGAAGAGAAAAATAAGAAGATTAAAATAAATTTTTTAATAAAATAAAATTAATTTATATAAGTTAAAAATAAAATTTAAAAAAGTTATTTATTTTTCTCTTCCAGTATATGAAATGTTTTTCTAATTTGCACACAACTAAATATTAAAATATTAAGTATCATAGCATCCCAAGTAGGGATGACAAATAAACCCGTACTCATGGGTAATATCCGAACCCGTCTCAACTTTGACGAGAAATACCCGATTTAATCGAGTACGAGTATATACATACCCGTCCCGTACCCGTACCCGTACCCGATTGAATTATGTTAAAAATAATTAATATTTTATTATATGTAATTATTTTTTATTATGTGAAACATTTATAGTTGTTTAATTATTAAGAAATCTCTTGATTAAAATATGAGATAGAAAAATAATTTAATTATAATTATAATATAATTAAAAAATAATTTAAAAATATTATGTATTTTTTTAGTAAAAAACAATAATAATAATTTTTTACGGCTATGGGTATGAGTATACCCGATACTCCACGAGGACGGGAATGAGAACAAAAATTTCATATCTGATGAGTATAGATATGGGTACGAAGATGGATTTGAGTCACAAAAACAGGGACGAGTGTCATAAAACCCATATCCGACCCGCGCCCTGATGTCATCCCTGATCCCAAGCAAGCAATGGAAGTTTGAGTGTGGCAGAAGCTAATACTGCTGTGCCTTTCAACCAATTTTTTGCTTTTCACAAGCAGCGCCTACAAAACGTATCGGATTCAGATTAATTAAGAATTTATTATAATATTTATTTGTATATAATTTATTATAAATTTTAGTTATATATAATAATATTTAGCATGTGTAATATACTAATATAAATGACTAAAATTAAAAATGACTTAAATGACTAATTTAAATGTCATATCCAATATTTACTTTTTTTAATTTGATAATTCAAATACTATTTATAAATATTATTTCTCATATTAACTAGAAGCTCTCAAATGATCCTGACTTTATCTTTATGGACTTAATCTTAGGTATACATTTATACATAAGCAATCAAGATTGTTTTAATAAATTTTAATTTTAGCAATCTATTTGAATTATAGATTACCTAATGATAATGATACGTTTTGATTTAACAAAATTAGCTAATCCTTTCACTAAATAAGTAAAAGATCACGCTGATCGATTTCTTTAAAATAATATAAAAATGTGATTAAGTTCCATGATTTCTAAGATATGAAATTATAAATTTATGAAATCGATATCCCAGTCTAATTAGAATCCAGACTAATACTGAACTATTTAATTGTATTCAATTACGATCTGTTCCAAATTCAAATCATATCTATATAAGTTGAGAAGAGAAGAAATTTAAATCATATAAGTTGAGAAGGAGGAAGAGGAAGAGGAAGAAGTGCATAATTCATACCTGGTGCTAGAAAAACATGTACAACAATACTGCTAACAATGGTGATGACAGTGGTGAGAATGTTGCTAGTAGCATTTGGATTTCTGGCTTGAAGAAGCAGCAAAAACGTCCAAAAATTCCAAAAAGAGGACCTGGAGTGGCTGAACTTGAGAAGATTTTGAGAGATCAAGAAAGCATAGACATGACTGACACCAAAAACTCCAAAGAAATTCGTGGAAATCAATATGAATCTGTCAATTTTATGACCAGAAATTTATCCAATGAATTCAATCCTGTTTTATCTTATCCCGGAACTAATCAAGAGAGAAACAACCAGCATTCACCTTCTATGGTAAAGCTTATGACAGAATTTGTATCAATCAATATTTTCTAAATTGGAAGAAAGATTGTGGTTTGCTTACATTTGTGTGTAAAATGTGTGTAATATTTATTTGCAGGTGAAACAATTTCTTGAGAGACCTACTTCATCCAGATCATTATCAATTGGACTTCAGAATCACTTTGAGCAACCTTCAATTCAAAGTTCATATTACAATTCAGAAGAATACAAAGTAATTCACATTCTTTTAGTGTTTTTTTTTTTCTTTTTCTACATAGACAACATCAATAATAGTGATTTTATATAGTTTATCTAAATAATTTATAACTTATGACAATAATTTTTCTAAGAATTTGATTTAGATATAATAATGTCACAAAATTGATTTATGAGAGATATGTTTTAAAAATTAGATTGAATCATTTAATTTAACCAAATAATTTTTTTTGTATTTAGTTCATTTGAACCGGAATGAGTGAGTGCAAAGTAAAGTGTATGAATGCTAAAGAATGTTAATGAATGAGTATACATAGTAATTTTATACAAAATATTTATAATTGATAACATAACTAGTTTTATTAAGAAAAAATGTTTGTTTTACAATAGTGATTTGTTATCAACTTTTAGTTATATAAAATTATAATATTTCTGTAATATTATTTGTACGTATTAATTGATTATTATTATTATTTTATCAATATTAGTTTACTGTTTAGTAACTAATACAGATTTGAAAATACTAGATGAAATTTGTATGAAAGTAACCTACATACATTAATTTGGTTAAATTGAAAGTAGGTGGAGTGTTTCTATTTTTTTTAATAGAATAATTTAATTTAAATTTTTAATTTATTTTATGTGAATTCTACAATGAAATTATTATTATTATTATTTTTGCAAGAACTTACTTCTTACATATTTTTTATAGAAGCTAAGAATCAGTTTTACAAATGAAAGCTATATCATTATACTCTAATAATAATAATAATAATAATAAAAGAGCTGATTCTTATTTTAAGAACTTCTTAACAGAGATGTCCTAATTCCACTTTTTATAGGATAAACATTATGCCTAAAAATAAATAAATAAAAACTATAATAGTTGAAAACAAATATTACATGATACTCAAATTTTCTATGAGTAATGGCACTTGTATAACAAATTTCTCAACTAAGAAAGAAAAATAAAAAAGAAAGAAAGTTGAAATATAATAAATGATAAATAAAGCAAGACAAACATAACAAATAATGATGTAATTAATATTGTATGAATTGTTGTACATCGTCACTCATTATTTACTTAAAAATGTCTTTCATAATTGCAATAATTGTGTTTATAAAAGTACTTTTTACATAAATACTTATATAATAAGCATTTGTTGAAAAAGTAATTAAGTTGTTTATTTTTAACCTCATGAGACATGCCTTGAACAGGAATGGATTCTCTCATGTTGGACTTAATTCTCCTTCTGAAAATCTCGCTATCAAAACCTCATACCTTTTATTTTATTATTTAAATTTTCTGTCTTTTGTTTTTAATTAAGAGTTAAAATTTTACTGAACAGAAATGTGACATGAGAGAATCCAATCCCGTGGTTGTGCAATGCCAAATGAAATCAGAAAAGTGCACTTTTATGTTGACAACCAAAACCAATGTGTTGTAGATGCTTGGCATGAAGCCATCTCGATCTTCAATCTTGGAAAACTCTCTGATTCCGCCATCAAACTTTCATGTTCTTCCAAGTTTTTCTCACTACAGTAGGCTGCACCAATCATCCACCAAGGAGTCCTACAGGCAAACCCTTTAATCATCACTAAAACACTAAATTTTGCCTTCTCTGTTTATAGTTTCTTCTTGTGTTACAAAATTATCTTGGTCTTTCTCAGGGATGCCCAATGGGGGAGAACTTTGCAGCTCAATAACACAAAGTACAATTCAGACATTACAGTGCCTCATGAAGATTTCCCACCATTTACTACTCCTGAAGTTCCTGCACCTCCTATGCATTTGTTTCCTGCTGCTCTTTCCAAAGGGAATGTGCTCCCTCGCCAAGTTACTGAAGTAAGCTGCAAGTTATTCTTTACTCTTTTTACTTTTCTTCAGGACTTAGCAGCTATGAACCACCTACTCTAACATAAACACTAGACACGTCACAGATATTAGGACACCCAACTAATGTTCAAAATATAAAACACGAGGACACGACATACTTATATATAAGCTTTCTAATTTTTATGTGATGATGATCCTTAGTATATGGATTATATCTCTTAAAAGGTAAAACAACTAATAATTCTTAGAAATGGGCTGAATTTTTTAAATATTATAATAGGAATGTTAGCTAAATGTTTAACAATAACAGGTGTCAACTCATTATCTTAGCTCATGTCCATCTCGTGTTACAAAATAGTCCAACTTGTATTGGTGAGGATTTTGAATCAAAAAATAATTATTTTTGATTGTGACACCGTAAATAAGTGTTAGACACATATTCAAGACATGTTTGACAAGTGTTATGTCTAAAACATGTCAAATATTTTGATAGTATTCAACAGATGTGTCAGTGTTTCATAACTTAACAATGCTAATGTTTATTTTAATTAGTAATGAAATCTTATTCACTTATAAAAAACAATTGCAAGTTATTCAAGAAGAACAAATTATATATTAGATCTCTAAAATATTATTTTCTCTCAAATAGTTCTTAAACCATTGAAATTATATAAGTATTCTATACAGTATTAAAAATCATGCTACATAATCGCTTAAGAATTGAAAATTTCTTCAAATTAGTCCCTCAATATATCAATTCAAAAACTAAATTGATAATGTGATACTTTAGAGATTACTTATATATATACTTCTATTAGTTTAAGGACTATTTAGAAGAGAGAGTAATACTTCAATAACTAAATTAATAGTTTATTCTATTGGGGAAGGTCCAATAGTCTTTACTACTTTGTTTGGTTAGCTGAGTAGATTTGTATCTTGCTTCTAAAACTTTTTAGGAGAAAGTGGAGTCATACCATTCAGAATCAAGTGGACCAGATGATAGACCTTTCTATAACTTCTTAGGATTGGAGGACTCAGAGGGGCTGATAGATAGTGCAAATAGTGGGGGACGTGAAAAAGGAAGAGTTGGAATTGATCTAAACTTGAAGCTCTGAGTTTTTGTTTGCATTTCTCAATGACTAGCTCTCATGAGTATGTGGTTTCTCACTTAATGACACCAACTGAAGGCAATTTCTTCGTGGGAGAGTATGCATACTCTTTGATTCATGAAATTGGGATTATGGATGGAATGGATGGAATCGGCAATTTCACCACTTGGCGGGGGATTTTTATTTAACTTATTGTCAATTGTCAAGGCTTTTGATGTTCAGACTTGGTCTAATTGTAATTTTGAACTAAAATCATGAAGGATTGTGGAAGCTTGTTTTTCTGTTTTTGCAATCCTATTTTAACCTTTTGTCTTTATCATTGCAACAGATGTATCTCATAATACGGTGGGAATTTTAATCTTTAGTAAATGCTTGCCATTCTTATTTTCTTGTTTGAACTTGGTATATTGCAGTGACTGGATGTTGTGGAATCATAGCTTTACTTGTGGGAACAGTGTTTTATTTTCTGATTTATTTCAAAGTTTCATTTGTTGACAACATTCTGTACCTCGTTTGGATACACATGATATTGGTTTTGTTATGATTGTGGTAAAATAATGGTTTTAATTTGCAGGATTGTGATAAATCAATGGTTTGTTAACATATCAAATTTTGACGGACTTGTCTAGGTGTTGGATATTCAGAAATTGGCAGCTGAAATGAGCTCGAGCTGCATTAAAGACATTTAAATTAGATACTCTTAAATGTTTTTCATGAAGAGATGATATTTGATACTTTTGTTGATCCATGCTCTAGTAATGCCAAAAATGATGTGACAAATCAAATGTTAAATTTGCAAGTAGAAAAAATGTCATCCCTTGTTACAGAAGGTTTAAAATGTGGAGGAAATTTATATGCCTTTATTTGCTACTTGCTGAGTTTTACACACCCAAACACATGCTCAGACCAATTTATATTTATTGATTCATTTATAGATAGGATATGGGGACTGGCTTACCTTAAAATGGAGTTGTGATGTCATTTTTCTATGCTAAATTTATACTAGGGTGATATTAGTAGGATTGAGATAAATGCATGAAAATTTAGGTTTGATTTTATCTAGATTGTCGTTATTGTATTTTTTTTTTATCAATAATAATACCATGATTAATTTTCTATATATTATTAAATCTGATTCAAATATATCTATATCTTAACATTTACTTGAAATACATGAATGTGAAAAAGTTAATGGTTATTTCAATATGAAATTTACAAAGTTGGTTAATTAGTGTAAATTATATATAAATTGGTCAGCATGATATTTAGTTGTTTTTGTTGAAGTTTAAATGTAAAGTGAGTTTTATATTGATTAGAGCTAGATTTGTTAAATAATATATAAATAAAAAAAACTCATCTATCTAATATTTTAAACTTTTAGGTTATGTTATAAAATCAAATTCACTTATATAATTTGCTTGTAATTTTGATATAATACAAATTAATTCTTAATTATTAACTTTAAAATATTTCGTAAATTATAGCTATAAAGAAAAAAATTATCACAATTATTTAATATAGGTGCATACTTGTTACTCAAACTTGAAATATCTGATTAAGCTGAAACTAACATAAGTTGATTTATGGTGGGTGATTTTTGTTTTCTATTTACATGTTTGAGAAATATTCCAAAAGAAAAATCAAATACATATGTAAGTTGACAAATAGTTGTTGGATGCATTGTGAATTATGTCTTTGAAGATGTTGACATCATATATGATTCTGAGCACACCTTGCTGGTATCCCAATTCATCTGCAGATTGATGAAGCAACTGAACAACGGTTGGATGCTGAATTGCTTCGATGGATACCCATATCTTCTCTGTAGATTTCCCTTTGCCCACTAACACAGGAACGTACCCTTTGCGAACTTGTTCCATTTTTTCTCTCCTATTCCTATACACCTTGACCATGCTGTCTCCAATATAGGAGGTTCTATATATTTATATACGCACTTCTCTTGTTGGATTAAATTAAACTAATTAAGTCCCAGTGGCATGCAATGGGCATTTTGTCACTGCCAGTTGCATGCTTCAGTGACGCTATTTAATTTTCATCAAGTACAGATATAAACGTACATACACAGCGATGAAAAATGCCTATTTATTATCATTATTTAATTACAAGTTACTTGTAGTGAGTTTGTTTTTTTTTCTTTCTTTTTTTTCTTTTTCTTTTTGAGTCTCAACTCTCAACCAACTTGATAATTTAAAAGTCAATTTTTGTATTCTTAAAAATTAATTCTAAAAAAATATATAAATATAATTACTTTTTCAAGATTAGAACATTTTTTATTAAAAAATTATTATTAATTTTAAAATCACTTTAATATTTTGTTTTAAGTTCAATAATGTGTTGGATTGACTTTGATTCTTGCTTAAAAGTGGGTGATGATGGATGTAGAAGTAAATATGTATAGACTCTAATGACTCATTTGTGTTGAAAAAGAAATACATGCATTGAATTGAAGAAAAACAGAGGTGATTTCTCAATGACACTTTTGTTTAAATTAAATTTTTAACATTTGATTTTTTTTCTCCAATATGTTATTTTATTATTCTTAAAAAAAATGTACATTACATTTGTTTTTTCTATGATAGGTTATTTCTCATTGGGCTTAGAAAATATGGCCGGAGAAATTGAAAAAACAAATCAAAATTATATGTTTTTTTTTGTCTTGATTTCGTATGATTTTGTATTATTTTATTACTTAAAATATTATATTATACTACCCATTTAACAACAATCAATCACGGTTAAATTAATAAACTATGAAACAATGTTTTAACTTTTAATGGATTCAATTTGCAATTACCAATCTCGCTTAAAACATAGACCACCTTAGACTTTAAATTGTAACGTCCGATTCTAACGCTTAATTTATATAATAATAATTATATATTTCTTATATAATATTAAATGAGAACCAAAAGTAATTATTGTAAAAATAATTTATTAATTTCAAATTCTTAAATTTGATTAAAAATATTTTTTCTAATTTTTTAACATAAAAGGGTATAATGGTCCAAAAAAGTAGAGACCAAGGTAGTTACCAAAAAAGGTATCATCTTTATATATTAGTATAGAAAAAAGGGTATCCCTTTTATATATTAGTATAGATTACTTGTACAAGTTGTAGTGTTATATAAATAGTACATGCTAGATATGTAATAATAGTCTATTTGTTTTTAAAAAAAAATTAAAAGTAGTGTTTTTCAACAAATATTTTTTTAAAAATAAGTCTATATAATCAGATAGAATTGCTTCTTGAAAAAGAAAGGGGTAGAGAGAGGATTGTTTAACAAAAATTATAATTTAAATGTAATTGTGGACTGTGAAATTAATTAAATATTTACAAGATTAAATAAAAAATTAAGAGATTTTACATTGAAAAAAATTAGTAAATCAATTTATAATCGTAATTATTATAAAGTCAATTTCATCATAAATTACTGATTTATTTTATTTTCTGCTAAATTTAATAATTTTGTCAAACAAATGAAAATTCTTTATAATTTGTTTAATACAAAAATTTTATTAAACAATTATAAACTCAAGTTCTCGTAGATTTGATAATTTAGGTTTTTTTTAATTTACTATTATAATAATTGATATATTAGTTAAATACGTATTAATTACTTAAATATATAGAAAATTATTAATTTATTCTATTATTTATACAATAAAAACAACAAAATTAAAACCCAGGACATTATGTTTATTATTTAAATAAAACAACAACAATAATGTTGAGAAAGAAAATACTATTTTATATATAAGTTAATCACCTGTACACTGTCAGTATAAAAAAATTTTACACTGACAACTAATCATATCTTTTAATAGTGTTTTTTTAATTTTAATTTGATTAAATAAGCAAATGACATGATACTACTAAAAGATATAATTGGTTGTCAGTGTAAAAATATTTTATACTGGTAGTATATAGGTGATTAACTCTTTATATATAAGTCACGTTTTCAAACATGATTTACTCTATTTCAAGTAATTTTTTTTAAATCTATTTATTTTGATTTTTTTTAAAATGCCTCTCTAACAAAATAATATATAATTTTTTTTATTTTTATTTATAATTTACAACTATAATAAAGGTCACGTAAACATTTTATTTTTAATTTACCTTGTAACTCTTCCTTAAATTACTTTACAAATTGTACACCTTTTAATTAATTATCCACTAATATATAAGTTTCATAACTTTTTTAACCTTTGAATTAATTATCCACTAATATATAATTTTCATAACTTTTTGAACCTTTTAATTAATTATCCACTAATTTATAATTTTCATAACTTTTTTAACATACCAAATACCTCATTTCCTTACTAGTATGTAATATAGTAATAGTAACAATAGAATCTAAATTCTTGTATCTACCAAACTTCTTACCAATTAATGGACTCTAGTATATTGTTTGTTTGCCACCTGTATAAAACACAGCATCATTAATAATAAATATTATCTGATCTCATTTGTCAAAGCACGTTGTATTTTGCTTGGACTATGAAATGAAAATCGCCATCGTCTGCACGATCCGTGTCTGTCTTATCACGTATTTGAACGAGTCTCCTATTATATTACTGCCCTAGGTTTTCAAGTGGGAAATTCATCAACGTTACATCAACTTAACTGGAAACACAATAAGCATGCATATATTATAACTTTTTTTTTTCCTATAAAAATTGCAATTTATCGCAATTTTAATTTAACTCTATTCAACCAACTCTTGAAGTCCTAAATTATAAGTAAGGTAACAAACTGAATTTATCATAATTTCATTTTATCTATCATCCTTTGTTTGATTCCATTTCTTTCAATCATGTTCTTATTGATCTGTCCAAACTAGAGACTACCATAGTTTCAATTAAATTAATTAACTCTCATACGGCAGAAGACCATGAGAAATAGAATTGACATCTTGAAAGCTGCAGAAGTCACTATTTCAAGAAAAAAGGAAAGCAGTATGGCCAAGTTAAGAACTCAT